GGGAAACTTGGCTTTCCCCAAAAAAAAATCTTTAAGAAAAAAAAAAAAAAAAACAGCTGCAGGTATAAATACAGCATTTGGATTTGTCTACACATACCAGCAGCAGCCTCCAAAATCTGGTAATCAAGGCCGGGCCTTTCTAAGGGGCAATTCTTGATATTTAAGCAGCTTGCCTGCCCCTTCCTATCTCCCGCACCATCCTTAAGGTCATGTTAGGCAGCCTATCACAGTGATAGACTAATAAGTAATGTATGGGGTGTCTGCATTTATACCTGCAGCATTTGTAATTCAGGACAGAGTCTCTTTACATTGTTCTAAATGCAGGAGGCAGTTCAGGAACTGGAAACACTGTAGGGAAAAAAAACCACTGGGTGTCATATTTGTAAACATAATAAGGGGCAATTTGATTGTGCAATTATTGACATAAAAGGGGGTGCCAGGTCAATTAACCTAATCAAGTTCTATGTTATTGACACGCTCTTCTAGTGAAATATTGGGTTGAGTACTAGTCTACAAAACAAAATGGCTCCCTCCATAGAGCATAGACCACTAGCACCTTCCCTTCTATCTGTACAGGATACATGATTGCTTACTTATGGCTAAAGTACAGTTTGAGGGCTCTAGCTGCTATTAAGAACAAAGAGATGTGTATTAAGATAATGTCTATAGATTGGAAAGGATTGGAAGTTTGCCTGGAAAAAAACCTGACGTTGGAATAAATTAAAATTGCGGAAAGGAACATAAGTTCGTCTTTCAAACGTCTAAGCTGACCATCCATGCCAAGTATCAGTAAAACATCATTAAGGCAAAAGGGATAGCCAATAAATACCAATGAAAACAATAAATATTACATGTAAATAATCTGTTGCATCGGTAAACCATAAAAATCTTCTGTTAGGGATAATGGCTGTGCAAAGAACAACATAAATAAATGTACATGTACTTCAGAAATCATCTCCATACTTATGGCTGATGGTCAGAAGTGAGCACCACCTAGTGGACATACTGGCCTCTGAACACAAACCAGTCCCCCCTTTCCCTCCAGCTTCAATCTCCTTGTGCGACTACTAGATGAAAAGGACAGGAGAAAAGCTGATGGGCTACAAAGTCACCACTGAACACTACAAACCTCGAGGGGATTGGTGGAAACCGAGGGCCAAAAGGATCACGTAATGCAGAGCTGAGACAGAGGGGGACAACCAAATTGTGCCTGCTGCTGGCACTGTACCCGTTTAATCAGTCAGTGCTGAGTTCATTGCTACGGTGCGGAAAGAGCCGGCCATGCAGAATCCAAGAACAAGAGGTCGTGAGGGAGAGGATTATGGGAAACAGGCAGAACACATATTGCTTGTAAGAATAGCAGTAGTAGGAGGGAAGAGGAGACGGGGGAAGAGGACAACACTGCATCAGAGGCACAATAATAACAAAGAGCTGATACGGGTGAGTAAGCCCACAGTACATCCTGTGTCTCAGCCCTGGAATCATTCTATGTAAATCTACAGAAAATACTTAACAAATCGTCTGATTCGAGGCTGGGTAAACCTGGCAAGAGTTAGCAAAGACGTATTCCAAGATGTGAAGTTGGATTGAGAGGCTGGGGCTATACTGTAGGCTCCAATTCCTCCTCTCCTGGACGACTTTTGCATTTCTTCCGTAGAGCCTTCCAATGATATCCCGTAAATGTGGGACTAATAGGAAGGTAACTGAAACACTTGTGCTTGCGCAGAAAGTTCATACCAAAAGGAAAGTCGTATGACTCCATTCCTTCCATAGCAGCTCCTCCTTTACCCACTCCCTGCTTCCACTTCTTAATGCCCCTTTCTTCTGCCGTACCTGGAAAGACACACAGATCTGGTTATAAAGAACACTCAACTACAAACAAATTTACTGCTCAACTCTTTCCACTAATTTCTGGGAGGTAAAAGGTCTGATCAGTGATTCCGATCAGTCGGCTCATTCAATTCTATGATAGTTCTGTTGGAAGTCTGTACTCGGCTCTAAAATAAGCCTTCTGACATTCCGTTCTAGAAGTATGTATGGCATCACCTTATGCACATCGACATCAGAGCTGACGTCAATGCTGATCTGACCATCACACATTTGGGTTTTCTATGGAGGTTTAGGATCTCAGGCCTGAAAGTCACTGAAGACCTCCACCAAGCACACAGAAAGAGTGCGCTTGGTGGGGGTCACAAAATAAACACTTTTATAGGAAGCTATATCTCCTTCCCACCGGCCCCTAACAAACTGCAACACCATAGGCGTTACAAGGGCTTCCCAATCATGTGATGACTATGTTTGGCTGTCACACTGATAGCCAAACACTGTCACACCTACTGACACTGTCACACCTACTGGCTCCTGATTGTTGCTTTGTGACTGGTCACAGTGCTCGGGTGTGTGATTGAGCACACTCCATGCACAAATCGGCAACACCAGCACAGCATTTGGCCCCATTATATGCATAGGGCAAGAGATATCATTTGTGACATCAAGTTCACCAGAGATGTAGACTAGCATACTAATGTCTACTAATCAATGAAGTCACTCCAACATAAGAAAAATGATTAAGCTTAAAGTAAGCCATGCTATTATTCTTTCTGGTATCCGGTAAATCAGTATCTGTGTGTAGATACTTGCTCTTGCTCCCTCTCTCATGTCACAGATCTCTAGCTATACCTAGACTGCTGCACCGAAAACACATTGGAGGGAATTTATCAAAGCACTTGCGACAGTTTTAGCCTCTTAGATCATTTTTTTTATGTGCAAATCTGTCTTTTAACATGTGCCCTTGTTTTCCTCAGAGCTTGCACTACTTTTACAACTGCACGTGTTTTGCATCTGTTTTCTTCAGAGCTTGCACTACTTTTTCAGTTGCATGTTTTTTACACCAGTTTTCATCTGCACTTGTCCTGCGGCTGTCTGAAACTGGAGCATCACCTAAGAAAACAATCACAACTTAAGAAGTCCCCATGACCACTTCTTCAAGATGCGACAGTTCAGCTTTTTGCCTGAAGTTACGAGTCTTCTTTCCCGGAGTCTATTAAACCCCATTTATCAACAACATTACACTAGCATCATAAATCTGGTGCAAATAATGTATATTCCGTGCAAGTTCAAACACTCGCAATTGCTATCATAAATTCCCCCCATTGGATTTGAAGGTAAAATCTCTTCTGACACTTACCTACAGATTCTTACGGCAGGAAACCCAGGTGTACCCGTTTAGATGCCTAATCTGTAAGTGGCGGTACCATGTACAATTACATGTGGGACAGTCATCCATCCCAAACTGCATGTAGTTATATCGTGTACGACTACATGCAGACTGCCACTGGCAGATGCGGCCGCTGTCCCCGTCATTTACTTGAATGAGAACAGCAGCTGCATCTGAACAGGGACACCTGGCTTTCCTGCCGCAAGAATCCATAGGTTCTTGTCACAGGAATGCCAGAACGTTCGTGGTGAATGCAGCCTTAGTATATGCATATCAAATCAGATGAGGAGTACGGACTAGACATCCCGACCCTTTATAAAAGAGGTCTACAACTGATAAATGGTTCTAGTTTTTTTTTTAGGAAGACATTTTCTGGAAATATATATATATATATAAAATCAACTATATAAATGAGATTTCTGCTGCCTTTACCATGATTTAAGAAGTAGATATTAATAGTAAAGTACAGTTAGAATATTTACCAGTACCGCCTTCTCTCTCGCAGAACTAAAGCATCCGCTAGGATCTTCAGCGTCCAACACTTCCAGCTATGTCAGATGGCCGCATCCCTCTTGCATCCCCAATGGTGTGTTCCTGCAGATCTGTACCTACCTACTGCAGCACACACAGGAGGGGAGTATAGCCATCTAGAAGTGTTGGATGCTAAAGACCAAGATCCTAGTTTTGCAAGAGAGAAGGGATTACTGGTAGCTATTATAATTGTACTTTATTAAGTATTTTTGAAGCATCAGTAAACTTGGTTCAGCTGTGTGTTGGGGAACCTGCCAATGTTGTTTATTTTCTGTACTGAACCCCCCCTCAGGTTTTCCTTTTGTACTCTACAATTGATTGAGAAAACCTATTTGTGTTTCCTCTTTAAGCTGCATTACTTGTCATCGTTCTTCTCTCAGAATTTACTTACCGGGAATAGTGTTGTCCAAAATAAAAGCTGTGCAGCCTCCCACAAACATGGCTGTAGTAAGCAGAACATTTAATATTTGATCAATCCCTACAATGCCTAAAAGAAAGAAACTTGTCACAAACATTTGCTAGAACAGTTATTATTGTAAGCTATACATTATTGTTTTTGGAAAGATAGCATCTGATTGCAACTGACAGACAAGCTTGCCTTCCAATTGCCACCAATCAGGTGCACTGTCCAGTGTAGTATCATGCTGAACCTTTCCAAAATAACTGCTAGGTTTTGCCTAGGATCTGAAGTACAAGGCATGACTTTTGCCTGCAGTACCACCTGCTGGATAAAACTGGTACTGTAGTGTCTCGGCTCAGATCCAACAACATTCAAAGAACACAGGGACATCCCGAAGCAGGACGTCATCGCGCATGCAGCTGACTTCACCACGCGTGTGGGCGATGCTGTCATCGCGCATGCACGGCGATCTTATTGACAGCTGCCGGCAACTATCTGGGTGATAGACGCCGGCAGAGAGAAGAGGGGATAGTCACTCGGCGGGATAAGGTATGCTGCCGGGTCCCCTCCTCTCACCCGAAACTGTCGCGCTCTCTGTCCATGAATTTTCAGAGCGGGTGACACCAAAATTAATGTCAGTCATTTTGGTGTCGCCCCTCCAATGGTGTCACCCAGGTGTGGACCACACCCCCCTTGGGACGCCACTAAGAACATACTGTATTACACAATGGAGGATTTTAGGATTCTGGATAATATAAACAGTGGGAAACATGGAAAAGATCCCTTCATGTTAAAGCGGAAATAAAATAAGAAAAATACGCCCCAAGAGCTTTTAGATATTAGGCACTAGGCACTAGTATGCACATCATATTAGTACATTACGGAAGCTTTACCAGCCAAACTGATCCCCTTAAGCGCTGAGCTCCTCCTCTTCATCCGTGTCTTCTGCCACTTGAATGGCACGGGAGTTACTTCGTCTCAGCATTCCGGGTCTGTGCATTGATCTGCACATGCGCAGCTCCGTGTACAGGGGGAAAACAAATGCTGACTGGTATGCTGGTAAGCTTTTATGACGAAAGAATCTTCGGTCACAAAAAGCCTGCGGATCATAAGTTGTTTTTTTGGATTTTTTTTACCCATCTTACTTCCACTTTAACACATGAAGGGTTGCAAAAGGGCAGATCAGGGATTTACTTTACAATTTGAAAAACTATTTGAGATGGTAATTGCACATACAGAATGGTATTTCCAGGATATTTAAAAGAGAAAGGCTGCTTAAAAAGAAGAAAACAAAAATGAAAAACAAAAACACAAAATGGAATTTGTACATACCTGTGACCAATGGGTTCTCCTTCAAATAACTGGGTAGCATCAACCCAAAGAATATTGAAAATCCAAGGACAAAGAGATTACGAGAAGAGTTCAGATCCACAAACTGGAGATTGGAAAGACCCACCGCAGTGATCATTCCTGTAGAAAGACAATTACGTTAATTGAAACCGCAGGTGACCACTCCTTTAAGGCAGCTCACTCATAAGAAAGCCGTGTTCTGATTATTTAAAGCTGACTTCCGGGCAGAGAAGTGCTAACCTTGCAGAGTTTCATGTTTGTTACTAGCCTGCTCAATTCAAGTGTTAGGCAATCTCTCTGCTGTTCTAATCCCAGGCAGCTCTGATGTCATAGGGTCAGCACTGCCTATAGGAGGAATGGTGGCTGGGTCTCAAAGATGAGCAACAATTCATTTTATTCCAACACTGCCCCAGCAGCCTGGTATGGGCAGCACCCTGCTCACACCACGCCGAAAGCCAGAGGGATCATGGGAATTTTGGTCTGGCTGGGTACACCTCTGTGCACAGGAAGCCACATGGGGCATCTAGCTAACCTCTGCCATTGGCTGGGGAAGACACAAAAAGGTTTTCAGTAGGGATGCACCAATACTAGTATCAGTGCCGACACCGAGTATTTGGGCGAGTACGCGTACTCGCCCAAATGCTCCGATACCTTTCCTGATACTGGAACTTCCGGTCAGAGAGACATTTCCTCTGACCGGCAGTGCTGCGAGGGATAATGGAGCCGGGAAGCTGGCTCCATGCTGTTTGGCCGGCTCAATGCTGATTGGTCCGGGAAGCCAGCTTCCCAGCCAATCGGTGTCAAGCCGGGCAAACAAATCTCATAATATGGCGACACGACCCCCACCCTGCGGACAAATCATTCCCCTCACATAGATCCTTAGCAGCCGTCATTACCGTACCAGTCCCTCGGACAGCTGGGCAGACACCGCTCTCCTGAATCTGCCTATGTCTCCTGCGTGTACAGCGCCCACGTGATCGGCCCTCAGCCTGCTACTGCACATGCACAGGATTTCTGAATGAGAGCATTGGGCAGTTTGCGCACGAGCAGTAGCACGCTGAGGGCCGATCACGCGGGCGCTGTACACACAGGAGACGTGGGCAGATCCGGGAGAGCTTGGAGAACGTTGTCTGCTCAGCTGGCCAAGGGACTGGTACGGTAATGGCTGCTGCTAATGATCTACGTGAGGGGAATGAGGTGTCTGCAGGGTTGGGGGTCATGTCACCATATTGTCAGATCTGTTTGGCCGGCCTCGATGCCGATTGGCTGGGAAGCCGGCTTCCCAGGCCAATCAGCATCGAGCCGGCAAAACAGCATGGAGTCGGCTTCCTGGGTAATCAAGAAGCTAGGCAGTGGTTAATGACACGCCGCCACGGCTCTATGCAACGGGAAGTACTGGTATCGGTGCTCTGTATCTGCGAGTACTGAAATATAAATATCGGTACTCGTTACCGAAAAACCAGTATCGGTGCATCCATAGTTGTCAGCTCTATGATGATGTCAGAGGGCTGAAATGGCAGAAAATAAAAACAAACAAGGAGCCATTCAGTGGAAAAAACTTTATGACACTCCTAAGGGGAAGCCGAGAGAAGTTTCAGCATTGTTTTCTATTTTCATGGAGATCATCTTCGGTAACCTACTAAAAAGCAAGCGTGTCCACTAGCTCATAGCAACCAAAATAACATTTTTGTATTTGCCTACCATGAAATCCATTCTTAAGGTGCCCACACACCTGACAATTATCTGCAGATTTTCTGTGGTCAGATGGAAAAAGTGCAACAGATTGGCCCAGGTGGAGATTACTCCATCCACACAGTTTAGCGTAGATGGAGGAATCTGTTGCACCTTTTCCATCTGACCCTAGAACATCAGCAGATAATTGTAAGGTGTATGGCCAGCATTAGGGTTCCCCATTGAGGGACACAGGAATTCAGGAACCGCCATTTTTTTCCCCCTTGCTAATGTCCTAACCTCCTGTAGGCAACAGTATAACCCATATGTTTCTGAATTCCAGTGTCCCTCAGTAGATGAGAAAATATTTTTGTAATTACCATTATCTATTTCCTGGAGTACATTGAGGGACAGAGGAATAAAAAAAAAACAGTTGGTTTACACTGCCCCCTAAAAGACACAACTTTTATTTATTTGTTTTTAATTTAAATTCCTGTCCCTCAATGGAAGAGAAAGAAAGATCATTTTTTTTTTCTACTATTAACTGCAGCAAGCTGATATCCAATGATAAGCACATCACAGACCTTTGTATCACACATTAACATTACACATTTCCAGAAGAAACAATGACTTACCAAACAGGGTACAAAACAGAGCTCCAAGGACAGGATCTGGCAGAGAGGCAAAGAGTGCACTGAACTTCCCAATCATGCCCAACAACAGCATAAAGGCAGCACCGTACTGGATGACCCTGCGACTGGCAACCTGGGAACAATAGGGAATGATTGCACACAAACATCACATACACTTGCTATTTATTATAAATATACAAAAGAGCTACAAGCTGCAACATATGTCACTTGTGTCTAAAGCTGCAAATATCTACAGATGGCATCTGCAGTGCCTGGTTTTGCAGTAACAGTTCTTTGTATTGTCAGTAGGTGGCGCTGTTATCAGTAAAAAGCTCATAAATGAGCTATGGAAGTTCTGCACCTTCCATCTGTTCCGATATCTATGCCCAGAATTTGCTGCCACCCAAAAAAGCTGTACATATAGGGCAGGCCATCAATCTAGATTTAGCACCATCTGCGAGAAAGCTAGATTCAAATAACTGCTGTTTTTAATGCAATCTATGCAACAGCAAAGGAAAAATATAATGGTATCAACTGACAGTTAACATTTTATTCATATGTAAAAAATCTTTATGTTATAAATAACATTAAATAAAGCATACAGCGCATCAGAAAGCCATGCATACTCTGCAAATTGATTGAGAAGAAAGCCCAGCACTGCTTGCATACATGTTGGTGGCTATGTCAAATAATGTTTCCATAGAATACTGCTTCTGCTAGAAAAAGGAGACATTCCACTGTGTGGCTAGTGAGTGTGTAAGTGGGCTAGTGAAAGACTGTTACTGAATGGACAAAATGACAGATTCTTTTTAAAGTGACACTAAACTCAGGAGTTAAATCTTCAAAATTCATTCAAGTACCTCAACTATTTACACAAATGTATCTTATTTGTGTATCACTCATCTTTAGATCCTCAAATCATCTCTGAATTGGTGCCGACACTGTCCTTCCTTCTGGAGGGTGGCTACTTTTGTTCCCCATGGCCCCTGTGTGTGTTGTAAAGTAATCACTGCTCCAAGCTCACTCCTGTGATGGACTAAAATCTCAATACAAATTAATGAACAAACATGAGATTGTAGTCCATCACAGGAGTGAGCTTGGAGTGGTGACTACTTTACAAAACAAAGTGTTTTGTTTTTTATAACCAGGTGTACAGGATAGCCTGGCCTTGATTTCCCGCATCCACACAAATCCCCCGGTGGTCTATTGTATTCTGTCAGAATACCTGATGACAGAATACCGGTGACTGCAGCTGACTGGCTGAAATGTTTTGGACTGGCTCCTTCAACAAAAGTCAATTGAAAAATCAAATATTGTCAAACAGGGGTGGGGGTCCCAAAAGGACCACACACTGTATTGGAGTTCCTGCTGACCAGTATATGGTCATCTTTAGACCTGATTAAAAAAGAAGGTGTATGGCATACCAGGGAGGACGTGAGATTTGAAAAGAAGCTGCGAGCTGATGGCAAAAATGTCTGAATTGATTGCACTCCACTCCAATTCCATACTTTGTCCTGGTCTACAGTTCTAAATCCCTAATGCCAATGTAAAGCCGCAAAATTACTTGTCACCTCTGACCTTTCTGATTCACTTCTGTACAAGACTTACCTTGGTTATCCCCAAAACTCCTATATTAGGACTGGACGATGTGGATCCATTTCCAGTGCCAAACACCCCATCCAGGACACATGAGAGACCTTCAATGAAAATCCCCCTGAACACAGACAAAATAATATATCACTAAGGAGACTGCAAGGAAGAAATACATTCCAGAAGTATAATTACATTGCCCTTTAACTTTGACCAGTAATTGAAGTGTGTAACAGAAAGTCTATCAGTACTCAATGAATGCACAACGACATTACACCTAAAGATAAAAGCATTCCGGAGTCTCCTTTGTATAAAGCATCCCTGACTTGTCCCACAGGTGCCATCCCATAACCAAAAAGTACCCTATACTGTTCTTTCTCAATTCCGCAAAAGATTAAATAAAGCTTTATGTAATAAACTGCATCAGGTCTTTAGTGAACCATCTATAAGCAACTCCTTTAGTCATCCTTTATTTATATAGCAATCTCTTCAGCCCAGGTGAGGTAGAAATAATCTGCAGCCTGAGATTGGGTCAGAATCAAATTCTCTCCCTGATTTCTTTGCCAATGCAGAGGAACGGCATGGTTACAAATGTCATGCAAAAGACAGAGGCATATGTTTTCTTAAATAATTAAAGGAGAACTATGGGGTTAAGACTTTTCCCCATAGTTCTCCTTAGGGTAACGGGAGCACACAAACTAGCGTCCTCCCGTCACCCTAGGCTCAGTATACCGCGAGCTGTGGCTCGCGGTATACTGAGACGCCACATCATACCGCGAGCTGCTCCTCGCGGTATACTAAGACGCCGCAGCTGAAGCAGGTCCCGACAATTATGGATCGGAGCGGGGAGGGGGGAATCCAGCTCCTCCCCTTTCACGGCAGAGAGCTGTGACAGGATCGAGAGGTGAGCGAACCCCGTATGTGTTCGCTCAGCTCCCGATCTACTGAGCCGACCTGTGACAGTCTCATTGTCACAGGTCGGCTAGAACTATGAGGGGAGTGAAAAGCACTCACCTCATAGATCTCCTTTAAATATATATCTGCATGCATTCCAAGAAACAACCAAACTCACCTATTAATAGCATGGATGGGAGGAGGTGGGGCACAGGAAAGGCGGGCACAGGCATAGTAATCACCAATAGATTCAATGATGCTTGCTACTACAGCGCTCAGCATTCCGATGACCCCAGCAGCGGACACAGTGGGCAGACCCCACTGAACTGCAAGAGGAAAAAATAACATGGAAAGTTAAATATAAACACAACCACTGTGGCAAAAACAGTCTAATAGGTTTAGTTAAAGTGAAGCCATAGCCACATTTCTTTTTGGTTTGGATGGATAGAGTATGGGAAGGTTAGAACAGGTTGTTATTGCTGCCTGTGTCATGTTGGAAATTCACCCTCTATTTGTCCTGATGACTACGGTCACAAAACGGAAAGTGATTGGAAATCCAGAATTTGACAGTTGTCACCTGACCCGCCCTTTATTATAGTTTCAAACATTGTGAAAGGGGGTTTTCACAATGATTGAAACTATAATAAAAAGGGCTTGACAAATTTTAGGGTGTCTCACTAGTCAGCATGACCGGACTATAGCCTTGCAATTTATGTGAAAATTTTTTAGGGACAGATAGAGCTTTCTTTTGAGGGATATAATTTGAGGGCGTTAATTTTTTTAATTATATAATGAAAAGTGCCCCCCCTTCCTGACCAGGCCATTTTTCAGTATTCAGCGCTGCGGTACTTTGACTGACATTTATTCCGTCATACAACGCTGTACTGAAATTAATTTTATACCATTTTTGGGGACAGATAGAGCTTTATTTTGGTGGTATTTAATCACCACTGCGGGTTTTATTTTTTACTATACAACAAAAAAAGTACTGAATATTAAAAAAAAAATGGTTTTCCCTTTATTATTTTAGGAAACATTTATTTTTACCCAATTTTTTGCTAAAATATAACAGTCGGGTAAATAGACACCAAACATGTGAAGCCTTAAAATTGCGCGTTGCCGCAAAATCGCAAAGAAACACCATAGCCAAAATTGGTCAGAGGCGACGCTTTTAAAAGATTTTACCGCTCATCAGTTTAGTGTTATCAGTGATTGATGGCCCTAAAATTATTGCTCTCACTCCGACGTTCGTGGCGATATGTAACACGTGCGGCATAATTGGACCAATCGTTGTTTTTGCGTGTAGGCGCATCTAACGCATTTTTGCGCATCTATGTGGGGGTGGGGGACTTTAAAACATTTTTGTGGGGTTTTTTTGTTTTGTGTGTGTACATTTTTTTATTTATGTCAGCAATTTTCTTTTCTTTTTTTACACTTTATTGTTATCACATAAAGTGCTAAGAAGTACCCTATGTGATAACAAATTACAGTTACAGATGCCCTTTATGGAGGCATCAGGGGTCTCTAAGACCCCTAATGTCACCTAGGGACCCCCAGAGAGGCTGATGAAGCACAGATCTGCTTCATCAGCTTCTCTCCGGTTTCTGTACCGGAGAGTGACTGAGGGATGCGGAAGTGATGTAATATACATCACTTCCTGCATTCAGAGATCGGGAGGAGAGCGGAGGGAGATCGGGTCGTGATCTCCCTCCGTTCTCAGTGCACAGACATCGCCCGGACGGACGCCCGGGATCGCGGCGGCGGGGGCAGCGATGGCGGTGACCAGAGGTAAGGGGGAGGCGCACCCTCACTTGTATCATACAAGCGATCGGGCGTCTTTACAGACGCCGGACCGCTTGTATGTAAACGGCCATCGTTGGCCCTTTAAAATCCTGGCGGGTTCCCGCTGGTGCGCACCAGGGGGCGCGGGCACGAAGGACGTCTAAAGACGCCCACCCGCATCCAGGAGACTACCGTCCGGCCGTCTTTCAACAATCGGCAGACAGGAGGTGGTTAAATTGCGTGCGCCCTCATGATTGCAAAAAAAACTACCACACTGAAAATTGGCCAAAGGCGATGCTTTAATCAGTTTAGTGTTATCAGTGATTAATGGCCCTAAAATTATTGCTCGCACTCTGACATTCACGGTGATATGCAACATGTGCGGCACAATAGGCGGAATCTTTGTTTTCGCACGTAGGCGCACCCGACGCATGCTTGCATGTATATGTGGGGCACGGGGGACTTTTTTGTGTTTTTTTATGCTTCTTTATTTTTTTATTACTTTTTAAAAAAATTTTTTTACACTTAACTTTATTGCTATCACATGGGGGGGGGGCAATTTACATGACAGGTCCTCTTTATGGAGCCATCAGGGGTCTCCAAGATCCCTAAAGTCACCTAGGGACCCCCAGAGAAGCTGATGAAGTAGAGGTCTGTTTCACCAGCTTCTGTAGCTGGCGAGTGAAAGCAGAATGCGGAAGTGATGTAATATACGGGGACGCAGAGGAGATCAGAGGGAGACCATGTACCGATCTCCCTTTGATTTCCTGTCACAGAGCAGCCGTGTTGGTCCCAGCCACACCAGGCACAGCGGATCTCAGGACCGCTAACGGCAGTGACATGGATCGGGCGTGGATCGCTTGTATTAGCAGGAGCCAGCTGGCTGTTTAATTACAACAGCCGATCGGGAAGCTACTCGCCCGGCTCTGGTGTCCTCTTGTGACTCATTGGCTTTTAACTACATCCATTTTATTATGGCTCCTAGTGGTGCCAAGATGGGTTACAGCTCGCTCTGGCTCTAGAGAGGTCAGACAGCTGGGTGCATCCCATCTATATTGTTGTGATCATTTCTGGCTGCAGCTCGGGTCTCGAAGTGTCTCTGGCCTTTTACTTCTGCTTTAAACCATGCCATCCGGCTTCATGCTGGGAATGCTGAATGCAGATTAATTGAGAATGATATCTGTTTGGAGGCTTTGGTTAGTCTTTCAGCAAGGTTCAAACACTAATTGAAGCTTGCTGCAGCCTTTTAACAGCTTGATTAAACGTTATGTAGCATTTAAGATAGCTGTTTAAATGCTTTGTAAATGTACGCTCTCTCTCTCTCTTTAGTGTGAAAGCCTTTGTGAACTAGGCCATACAAACTCAGGCAGATAGTGGAGGTGCCAATATACCAGCCTGTAAGGTTACATATGATGTTTGCATTGCTGGTTAGGAAAATGACAAGTAAAAACAAACTGCTATGCATATAGCTGAATGACTGGCCTGGATCATTGCAATGATGTGTGGCTTTAATGACAGGCACTGTATGGCGAATTACCTTTCATAGTTAAAGTGACACTAAACTGAGAAGTTAAAAAGGAACTTTACCCTCATCTTTATAATAACCGCAAATGGACCTTTAGAAATGTTTGGTAATGACAATCTACTTCTAGATAATTGCCGGCTTTGTAGTCTTTAAAGTGAGGGACATGATTTTAATGTATAAAATGTTTGGTGGTGATGGCAACATCAGCTATAAACCTTTTACTCTAAACTCCCCAACAAGGACTAGAGGCCACCACCTAAAACTGGTGGAGAAAAGATTTAACTGCCAAGGGCATAGGGGATTCTTCTCAGTCAGAGCGGTTACATTTTGGAACTCTCTGCCAGAAGCAGTGGTATCAGCAGAGAGTATTGAATCATTCACAAATAAATTAGATAGCTTCCTCAGAGACCGTAACATACAGGGTTACAGGTACTCTTAAAACCTAGGACCACACAGGGACTTGTATACACATACGCACGCACACCATACACACAAAAGGTTGAACTCGATGGACCTGTGTCTTTATTCAGCCTCAAATACTATGTAACTATGCATACCTTATTTCCCTTTTCTTCCCCAGTCTTTTCATTGTGGTCATTTTAACTAAGGGCAGGTTCCCTTTACTTCCTGGAACTCTGGCACATGTGACTAGGTCATGTGACCATGCACATCATGGCAGGGGAGGAAAATACCTTTCCCTGAGATCTGGTGAGATTACAGATGAGATTTCCCAGCAATGCGCTGCTGATGTGACCTTCCATTAGATCATTTGTGCCGTAGAGGGCCAGGAAGTAGATGAACTCTATTTGTAAGTAAATGAAAAACAAGTTTGTTTAACTAATGTAAGATGATTTTAAATCAGCATGCAGAGCTGCATACTCATGTGACTTTTAGTGAAAGGGAGTAAAGGTCCACTCTAAATCTTAAAAATGCATTCAAATACCCCAACTAATGACAAAAATGTATCTTATTTGTGTATCGCTCGGCTGTAGATCCTCCAATCATCTCTGAATTGGTGCTGACACTGTCCTTCCTTCTGGAGGGGGGCTACTTTTGTCCCCCATGGTCCCTGTGTGTGTTATGTGTGTGTTATGTGTGTGTTATGTGTGTGTTATGTAGTCACCGCTCCAAGCTTGCTCCCGTGATGGACTACAATCTCAATATTTATTTTATTATTGGTATTTATGTAGCACCCACAGTTTACAAAGCATTTTACATAGTTGGACAACGACATCAGTTGCTGCTCTCAAGGAGCTTACAATCTAAGGTCCCTATCTCACTTGCATGCATGCAGGGCAAATTTAGACAGGAGACAATTAAGCTACCAGCATGTCTTTGGAGTGTGGGAGGAAACTGGAGTACCCAGAGTAAACCCACAAAAGCACAGGGAGAACATCTCCTTGCAGATAGTGACCTGACCGGGATTTGAACCGGGGACCCTCAGTGATGCATAGCAGGGACCATGGGCAACAAAAGTAGCCCCCCTCCAGAAGGAAGGACAGTGTCAGCACCAATTCAGAGATGATTGGAGGATCTACAGCCGAATGATACACAAATAAGATACATTTTTGTTAATAGTTAAGGTACTTGAATGTATTTTTAAGATTAACGCCTGAGTTTAGTGTCACTTTAAATGCAAAAAATTGGTACAGCAAGGAACAGTAAGTTTCTATAAATCTCGTATTGTCATATGTAAAAACAAAAACCCAAACGGGGTATGTATGATCTGGCCCCTGTGTCTCATGGCAAGGCGACACATTGGGGGTGATTTATATAGAGTTATGCAAATGAGAATTGTAGTGCATTATGGCCACTAGGTGGAGCCGAGGAGCAGAATAAATGACCTACAATCTGTCACTATGCCATAAAACAGGAGAGCAGGTCATACAAGAGCGACCATTATCCACTGCAGATAATGGTCAACTTATAAGAAACTGAGGGAAACTGAGGACAGTAAAGCCTTCTTAAAACAGAAGGTATTCACATGTATCATTCTATCACATATCCCAAACCTATGGG